CTCTCTTTTAAGAGAGTAGTGATTAAGATAGCGCATACAAAAGAAAAATGTTGTTGGCTGAGCACGTGAACTTTTTATTCCAGGAATAATCATTTTAAGCACACGTCTGAGCTCTATTTTTTGTTAAAAAAACATTTTGGAATAATATTTGATGGAGAATGTGTGATTAAAAAATATATTTTTATGTAATATTATTTTATTGAAAAATGTATAATTGAAAATAAAAGAGAAAAAAATATATTGTAGAAATAATCGGACCAAACAAGGGCTAATCAAGAGATAATTATGTGTACGTCTTTTTCCTTGTTGGAAAATATTTTATATTAGATCATTTTCTGTTACACTCATTAGATCATTTCTGTTGCGTGTAATATGATTTTATTAATGAATGTGAAATTGAACATAAGAGAGAAAAATTTATTCTAAAAATAATGTAGATCAAACAAAGACTTAGTCTTTATATGAATAAAACATGTGGTTATATTGACCACAAGTTTTATTTGTTACACCATATTTTAATTGCAGTTAAACTCTTCAATTATTGCTCATTATAAAATTTATTTTCTTTACCTTTTTCTGTCGAATTCTTATCTTTAACATTCAAGTAAATAGAACGTCTTGTCCTTGGAGATTATTTATATTAAAATATTTTATTTTCATGATTTGAAATGAGAGAAAAATATTGTTTAACATTCTTTATTTATTAATTTTTTTGAAATTATGATGGAAAATAAATTGTTTTACTCCATTTCATGAATTTTTAGATATAAAACTGTTATCCAATATAAAATATATTAATTTATAGAAAGTTTGAGGATAAGTATGACATGAAAAAACGTTAAGCATATAAATGTTATAATGAGTATAGATTAAAAAATCTCAAGTGCAAATAAAATATGATGTAAGAAATAAAAATTGTGGTGTGAATATAATCAGACATAAAAAATTGTTAATAATTTCATTGAGAGACGATTATACTTTTATTTTTCATTTAAAAAAATGAAAGAATAAATGAAAATAATGACATTTCGACCTTCTTTCAAATCAACCATTTTAGGGGAACGAGAGACGACGATAAGATTGAGAATGATCAAACACGGAAAGGTGCAATGATCTTGAGGGTTAACAATAATTTATAACAATTTGTTATTTTCTATTGTTCATAAACCACTTTGCATGGGTGGCAGACATAATTTTCGAAAGCGTATTTGAAAAGTTGTCCTACTTCTGCAAAAATTTGTTTCAGGACCTGTTTGAGCCACTTTATTATCTTATTAAAATAAAAAATATGGTCGTTATCGATCACATCAACATTTAAATTTAAATTTTCTATCTGTTAGGTGAACCCTAATAACGACTATATTTTTCATTCTCATTCTACAATAATTTGACTCAAACATGGGTTTAATTTAATTTTGATGGATTGTAAAGGGAAAGGTGAAAGATTCGAGTCACTTCCAATGTGTTCAAAATTTGATGTGACGTTGGTATGCTCTAATTGGTGAGATCTCTCACTTTATGTCTCAACAATATTTTTCAAGATTACAATAACGATGGAATTATTGAGAACTAATGAGTAGTAATGGAAAAAAGAAGATGAAGAAAATGAAAGGCCAACAACCTCTCACTAGTGGACAAATTTTTATTTTTATTTTTGATATGATAGTGGACAAATTATTTAATCAATGTGTTGCCCGTGATTCCACACTGGCCCCCATCCCTATGTAAACTTTATGTCTTCACAATATACTATGCATGAATTATTAGTTTTTAGCCACTATAAATAAAGCAAGCCAGATAGTAGAGAAGATAAAAGAGTTTGAGTGAGAGAGAGAGAGAGATGGAAAACACATGTTTTGGTTGTGGCTTTGCTTTAATTGTACTAGTGAGCTTTTTCTTTCATGCTATATGTTTAGATAATCATCTAGATCATAATGATTTGGTAATTGGAAAGAGTAGAGAAGCACTGGAAGTAATCATTGGCGGTGGCGGTGGCGGTATTGGTATTGGTGGTGGCAATCCCCCTCATCCTTTGTCATGTTCACTGCCACCACCGCCTTCTCCATGCCCATTTGAGAGCAGACGCCTCGAGATAGTCTACCCTATAATCCAAAGATTCAAGAGCAAAATCAAAAAGGATCCACAAGGCATTACCAAGACGTGGAATGGCTATGACATATGTAACAAATACAAAGGTTGAAATATCTTCTCTAAAAGCTTAAAGAAATTAGATTAATTTACATTTTTATCTCAATACTCGCCTTCTCTCATGAACTTTTATAAAAAGGGGACATCGAACCCTGACATTTGTGTTGTCTCGTCATCTAAAAGCTTAATTGTTTTTATAGATATTGGAATTCTATTTTTAAAATTTTGTCTTCCAACAGGTTTTTTTTGTGACATCCTCAAAGACTATGGCATAAAGGCTCTAGCAGGAGTGAACTTCAATGGCTTCAACTTTGATGGACCCGAACTCGACCTCAATGGCTTCATTGAAGAATTACCAGACATAATCGTTTTCCATGCAAATTCCAACAATTTCAAAGGTTCATTTCCATCGAAGATTTCCAAGCTCAAATACTTGTATGAACTGGACCTAAGCAATAACAAATACACTAGTGAATTCCCATACCAAATTCTACGTTCCACCAAATTAACTTTCTTGGACCTTAGGTTTAATAAATTTTCTGGGTTGCTTCCACCACAAATTTTCATGCTAGATCTTGATGTGCTCTTCGTCAACAACAACAATTTCATGCAAAAACTCCCTGACAATTTGGGTTCCACCCCAGCTCTTTACTTAACCCTAGCCAACAACAAATTTATTGGCCCAATCCCTAGAAGTATTGGGTTGGGTCAAACATCCAAAACCTTGATTGAAGTTCTCTTTTTGAATAACCAGCTATCGGGCTGCTTGCCGTATGAGATTGGGCTTTTGGAAAAGGCCACAGTCTTCGATGTGAGTCGGAATTTCTTGACTGGCCCAATTCCACAATCTTTTGCATGCTTGTCGAAGATGGAGATTCTGAATTTAGCCAATAATCAGTTTTATGGGCCTGTGCCTGAGCTCTTGTGTAAACTGCCTCATTTGGGTAACTTGTCATTGTCCAATAATTATTTCACACAGATAGGACCAGAATGCTGGAAATTGATCCGAAAAAAGGTTCTTGACTTTAGAATGAATTGCATTCCGGGCCTCCCAATGCAGAGATCACCGGCACAATGTCAGGCATTCTTGTCCAGGCCCAAGTTCTGTCCTCAAACTCCGATGCCTTGCAAGGGGTTTAGTCGCAATTCAATAGAGCCGTCCGAATTTGATCCTAAGTCTATAGCTCCAGCCAAGCCACCACTATCTTACACTATTCTGAATCCTCACCGATTGTAATTGATCCTAAGTGTTATGTTATGACTGATGCATTTACTTTATGGTAGATCTATTGTTTAATTGAACTATTATTATGATAAATTAAATTGGTAGAATCTGTATATCTAAGTCTTGATAATTTGTTAATCACAATTAATAGAGATTGTGAGATACAAGTTATATATGGCTTAATCTTAAATTATCCGTGATCATAAATAATAACGATATACGAATATTGTTATTATGAATATACTAGCACATATGTCATTTCTCCACTTATGAAATGAGTGGCTAATCTCACAAGTTAAAATGCAGTGACATTTAAATGAACGAGAGAAAATTTTGTTAAAAGAACAAGACATTGAACATCTGCATGAGTGGTTAATATCTAACGTTTGTCAGTAAATTGGTTTTTTAGTTTGAGGTCGTCATAGTACCTTGTATGAAGGACGTCATACTTTAATGATGTTAGATATTGCTCTGCAAGAGCTATTAATAAAATATCATTCAAGCATGACAAGAATCGTATGAAAGTTGTGAATGTCATGATTAGAACATTATAATTTGTGTATGACCTCTTCTACTATCTACTGTCGCTACGAGGTTATGTCGGTGAAGGTAAATTTTTCATCTAGATTTTCGTGTTATAATGGTTTTAATCGATAAGTTTAAATTGGGTTATTTTAAGAGTTGGGAAAAAAATATTTTCCTAATAAAATTGTTATTTTTGAAAATTCTAAAAATCAAAACAAATTTTTCATCCGATGGTAAGGTGGGCATATGAGATGCCGAGATGGACATCTTGAATTGAAGACTGTAGGGCAATGTCAACTCAAAAAATGGGGCCATGTATAAATATCGTGCGACATGGTTTGTGGACGACCAGACCGCCAGACTAGACCACTGTTTTTTTATATGGACTGATGCCCCTCACCGACACTTCCCTTCCTACCAAGTAATGATGCCCCTCCTATCATACAAAAGTGACAAAACTATCAACAAGCACCAAATTCCTCACGCGAAATGTGAGGAGAGGTAATAGAATCGCTCAAATTATGATACCAGAGATCTTCGTGGAAATTGACCAAAAATTCAGCTAAGTTCTAATATAGTTCATGTTTGAGAACCATGCATTAAAAATGCAAATGAATCGAACTAGATCGAAACATTCAGCTATCGAATAGATATGTTCGAGCTCGGAATATTTTTGAAGTGAGCTCTTTAAAGTACATCGACCTACTTGAATCACCATATTTCAAAGGTAATTGCTATTTGTACACCTCATAACAGGAGGACTCACAATCAATTAAAAAATCGCGAGCCCCCTATTGTTAGGGGACTGTACACCGAGATATGTATACATTGCAAAACCACCGTATTTCGTATGCCAAACGTGCAGGAGATAAAGACGGTGGGTGGTCGGGTTCTAAATTCAAAGTCACATTACGAGTGCATATAAGAACATACCACTAATTTTTATTTTTTTTTAATCCTTAAGCAAGGACCGAGTTTTATGAATTGTAACCAAGATGTCCCTCTACCGTCGAAACCCTAAATTCCGCCACAACAACAAAATCAAAACTTTTGCTTGTTCAAGTTGTTTATACAAGTTCTTATGTTTTTGCTGCTTCATTTGAGGGATTAAGTTGCAAGAAAATATCACACTGCAATAGGTTGCACTCACCCTCAACTTTAGTCATCATTCTTACGAGAGATATGCTACGCGTACTGGGAATTACTCACGGGGTAACAGGAGGACAACTGTCCCCCCGTTATTGGCTGCCCCGTACTTCTCTTAGGATCTTCAGACAAGATTTTTGAAAAGTCCAAAATTTGCAAGGAATCAAATTTGAATATAGGATGGATTATATTGATCTACAGTAAATCAATTTTTATTTTCAACCACATATTTTTTAATAAAATAATATTTTTCATCACATCAATAATTTTTTTTTCTTTTTCAACCATATATTTCTCATCATATCACTATTCAAAATTAATTCTTCCCCCAAAAATCTCTCCCAAACGAACTATTAAATAATTTTTTTCAAAGTGCTTTGTTTAACTGAAATAACTTTTAAATAGAGAAAACTGACATAAGATATTTCTTATAAGGATAATGCTATGTGTACATAATATTTTATACAATCTTTTACACTTCCTCACAAGGAGGGGAGCCCACACACAATAAAATATTTGTGGCCTCCTCCATGTAAGAGGTGTAAAACTATGTGTACACCTCGCACATTATTCTTCTTATAAAGCTCTTCTATAAAACCAAAATTCATGTCAAATGGCCCTTAGATATCAAGCCAAAAGGAACCTAAAGAAATATTGAATTTTACACTAAGCCCCTATTTGTCTATCATTTTTCAAAATATTATTTTCTACAATAATCAATCTCCACCACACATTNGGCACTAAATAAGGCCAAATCTAATAGGATGATAACTCCTTAAATATTTAATTAGCATCTGAAAATTCATGTAAATTACACATTTGCAGGGCACTGTATATTTAGAATTTGAAACAAAAACATATTAAAAACCACAAAAAAGAAAAAGAAAAGAAGAAGCAATAATTACACTTACGTTGCCATGTTGTTCCTTAATCTGGTCAGTTCTATTAATTTGATTTAGGAGAAGAAGATGAATCAGAATTGGGACAAAACTCAAAGCTATTGGCGTCCATTTTTCCCACCACAAAATGGCCCAAAAAATCTTTAGTCTCCAACAAATTTTCCCGGCAAAGAAATTCATCACTGCACAATTTTTCCACTTCTCTGTAAATTTCATGCACAAACACATGGGTATGGGTGGCGCCACCCCTTTTACTTCGAGCCAAAACTCCAGCAGTAAATATCGCTGCCATCCTCCCAGGAGCCGCCGGAAAGTATCCACGAGGACCGTCTATCAGAATCACGTCCCATGCGACGTCGTATATGTGATTTGGCAAATCATTTATCGCCAATTTGCAATCTGAAAATAACAGATTCTGCACCGGCCGGCATTCGTTTTTCATTTGTTCTTTGTAATGCTCGATTAGATCGTATAATTCGCTTACTTTGGTGGTGAATTGCACGTCGTAAGCTTCGATTCCCGGTTGCTTTTCTTCAAGCTTGGAGACCAAGTACGAGCTTTCATCAATAAAAACCGTACGACCATCGTGGTTCAGTGAGTTCCAGAGGAGGGTTTCATGGGTGATCCCAAAAACAAGCAAGTTGCATGGCTCAGCACAGCGGCGGAGGACGGCGGCGATGTATTTCAGTTCAGCAGAAGACATGCGGCCGGAGAAGGAAGTGGTGTTGGTGGAAGCATAGTGCACAAGCGCGTCAAAGATGGGCCTGGGTAGCACGGACCTGGTAGTTGTAGTAGCGCCGGCGGAGGTTCTGGCGGCTTCCCTGGTGGTTATGAGAGTGAAAGCGAAAGTAACAGTAAAGAAAAGCATAAAAACCAGAATCCAAGTGCGGTGAGACGGTGGAACTGCAGATCCACCGCCTCCGCCGCTTGGCTTGTGAATCGAAGGGTGGAGAACTATAAATTTCTCACTAGTTTTCATTGTACACTGTACTTTTTAATTTTGCTTTCTTCTTCTGGTTCTCACATGGAAGTGCAGAGAAAAACACAGTATTTGTGCAAAAAGGCACGATTTACTATGTGATATGTGATATGGAATTATCAACACAGTTTCTAACTAATTAATGTTAGAATAATTTGAACTGGTGTTGAGGTACAATGATGAGACAGTGGGGGCCACTTTTACATGTACGTCCTCATTTAAAATTTTGAATTAATCTATTTGTACC